CATGATGAGTTGTCAAGAAACTTGAGTTGTATTCCAAAGTTTTATGAAAGTTCTTCAAAAAACTTCTTGTAACTTCAATGTTCGTTTATTCTATAGATTTCTCTAAGTAACCTACAAAATCAAAGAATGTTCTGGTGCTGACTTCTGAGCAACCATTTGGTGGACCATTCATGCACTTTTCACTTGAAAAAGTTTGAAATTTTGGTATGTTTAGTTTAAATTTTTATCAAGTCTTTATTGATGTGGATGTTGCAGACTTATTGACAGTCATCCATAAGTAGCCAACTTTTGAGAGAGAAACTTTTGAACTCTTCAAACATTAGTCTACAACAATGAATTGTTGTCTATGAAGGCTTCTGTCTAAAACCATGATAAGTATTTTACTAAGTTCATTTTGTTCTCCATGGATCTTTTGCAGAATGAAATTCCAGTCTTCTGTCCAGGCTTAACAGATGGCTCTTTGGGGGACATGTTGTATTTCCATTCTTTTCGCAGCTCAAGCTTGATCATTGACATAGTGCAAGGTACCTGTTATTCAATACCATGTCATGTTGGCAGTTTACACCCTGATTTATAAATCTGAACCTGGCTAACAACTTGAACAGATATTAGAGCTATGAATGGTGAAGCCGTCCATGCAAGTCCCAGAAAAACAGGAATGATAATTCTGGGAGGAGGATTGCCAAAGCATCACATCTGTAATGCCAATATGATGCGCAATGGTGCGGATTATGCTGTATTTATCAATACAGCACAAGAGTTTGATGGGAGTGATTCTGGAGCTCGCCCTGATGAGGCTGTGTCATGGGGTAAAATTCGAGGTTCTGCCAAAACCGTCAAGGTATCATTTTATATATCCTGCCTGTTTGCTCATTGCTGTTTCTCACACATTCCTCGCCCTTGCTATTTTGCTTCCATTTCCATTTTTCCTTTTCAGTTCTTGAAAACTTCTGATATTTTCTTTCCTTTGGTTGATCAATTTAAATAGGTACATTGTGATGCAACTATTGCTTTCCCTCTGCTGGTTGCAGAGACATTTGCCACAAAAGAAAAAATTCCTCTTGAAACCAACACACTCTAGATTTATACCAGTGAAGCTACTAATTGGCTTTTTCATATATTTATTTTAATTGCCTCTTACTATTTGAAGAGGATCAGAGTTACAACAGATGGTACATGGCTGGCCTGTGTGGTGTTGACAACACTGCAGGCTATGATGGATTCGGCATTGAGAAGATGGATGACTGATATTGTTGGCGGCAAAAAACAAGTATTGATAATCAGTATCGTCTCTCTTTTGAGTTATCTGTAGTACTGTTTACTTTTATTGCAGTACATGAACTCATGAAGGTATCTTTTGGCATTGTGGGCACATCCCGCCAGAACACTGCTTTTCATGTCCTTCCAATTTGTTATCTGTAACTGCACTTGATGTGCTCTTTGGTGGTTTTGCTTTTGCTTTGTTATATATAGTGGTGCATTTTGACGAACCCTTTCTGAATTCAGTCATCATCTATCAAAATTAACAGCTCCAAGTATAGTTTTACTTTCAGTGATTGATTTACTGCAATTAAGTATTTGTGCATTTCTTTATAGTCGTAACATTTTGCTATTTTACATAATATTTTGGTCCTTGTTATGTGCTTAAGTTATTATAATGTTGCAATGAAATTAAATCATTTAAATGCTGAAATTGTAATTTTTCCTTATTTATAACACTTTCTGATACTTAAATGAATCTAAACATGAAGAAATACAAGTACTAATTTTTTTAAATAAAAAATATAAATTGTCTTTTAAATTTATAGCACAAGAGATACAACTTATTTACAAAATATTAAAATTCTGGTATAAATTATCCATATGCTCAAAATCTTTCACTTCATAAATATCATAATTCAAAAACTAAAAATTAAAACCATGTAATCATCTCTCTCTCAACGTATTACTCTCAATACACTCAAATGCTTTTCTATTCCTCTCTTTTTATTAGTCAAATGAATATAATAAGCCCGAATCTCCTTTACTATATGCAATAACCCAAGAAATACAGACACCAATGGCCTGCAGGAAAAATGATTCATGGAGGAAAACCGGCACACTTGAAAGGAGAAAATTTTTTTGCTTGAGACATTGCTTTGATCAAACCAATGACAGTGCGCGAAGATAAGCTAGCACACTGTAAAGGTGGGGAAAATACCCTCCCTTTGACATAACTTGATCAATAACTGAGGTGGTATAGGGTTGATTTAATCTGCGCCTAGTAATCAATTATCGATACAATAAAAAAAAAATAGAGAAACAGATCATAGATGATCTTCTGATCCAATAAAAAAGCTACAAAACTGGGGATGGCCGTGTGTTCTTTTACTCAAATAAAAAAATTTTGTTGTCTAGTGTGGTTTCGGAACATATCCATCAACTGCAAAGTTCCGGGTGGCGGCAGGGATTGCTAAGCGAATGCCATCAAGCTCAGGCCGTGCAACAATTTGGCATCCAAGCCGAGACCTGAAAAATCATGAACATAAGAGTGAATCTAAGTCCCAAGGTTGAGAGAAGTTTCTATGGAGGAGGTTTCTTTTTGTAAAACTTACGTTTCTGTAAGGCCGAAAGCAAGATCCAACATGTCATTCTCCTCATCAGTTGGGTCATCTAACTTATTGTAGTATTCTACATCCTGCCACATTATTAAAAAGATAACATCTTAAAATTAGTAAAAACTCTCTTCGAAATGAAGAAAGCTGAAAAGCAACTTTGTTTTTTTTTTTTTTTCAATTGATGATACAATACCATAACAATCACATGACATGTTGAACAGGCAAGTGAGCCTTCACATGCTCCTGAAAAGAAAATTAAAATCAGAATGTTTTAACTTTGGCTATAGGATGAATCAGAAACTGGTGCAATTTTGATGTATCCACTACAGCAACATATAAGAGATAGGAAATTGAAACATGGAAAGAACATTTTAAACCAACCCCATAATTCCATGGAAAAATACCAAGTTACAAGTTGGAAGCATATCAGAGGTGTCCAATGGAAACAGCAGAAGATTAATTCTGTTTCTTACAAGCAGACAACAATCCTTACCTTCAAGTTCTATATCATTTTCATGAGCAGCTTCTAACATAGACGTTCCAACTGGAACCTTGATATTCTTTTCCTCTCCTTCCTTGTCAACAAAAGTCACAGATATCCTACAAAGCAAAGCATATGCGTGAAAAAAAGAACTACAGAATTATGATCAATTTAAATTTAAACAGGGAGGAAAAATTTGAAGCCGTCTAAAACATTCCCGTGTCCCAAACACAACACAGTCTTCTTTTTTGTAAGAAACAAAAACATCATTCTTGCAAATATCAAGTAGAAACAACTTACATTTCCTTCTCTTGATTCCCTTCCTGAGTCAAACCATTATTACTAGGTGTGGTCGAAAAATACCGATGCCTCTGACATGCAGCAATCTGGAATACCTTTTCTGCTCCCCATAATCCATTCTGTCAAAGAAATTTGAGAACTAACTAAATAAAAAGGAAGAAACATAAGCCTGAAAACCACCAATTAAATTCGAAGCCATGTTGACAACCACATGATTTATGCCTTATTCCCTGGAATTATCTAGTTGCAGAATATTCAGTTTTTCATATTTCTATTTCAATATTGACAAGAAGCACAAGACTATCAATCAGAGAAAACTGCTTTCGTTTTCCTTTTTTTAAGACTAAAATGCAGCACCTCTTTAGACAGAGAGTCAATCATTTTTTTCTCTTATACAGATCTAACTATTGAAAGGCTTAAACCCAAACTTTCAAGGAGGAGAAAGCTTGTGCCAACCACTGGATTACAAGCCGTAGTCCAACATAAAGCAAACTGAAAAAAAAAGGAATTGACTGCTGAAGTATACTGCGCATACCATAACAGTTGAGAATTTTCAAGCCTATATGCCACGCAACTAGAGCCAAATCCTTCCACATGCCTCCAACTAAACTATACTTTCTTTTCTTTTTCAAATTTCATTAATTACAAACTCAAGTGCCTTGAGCAGAAAAGGTTGAAGTACATTAGACCAGCATCTAGCAAAACTAAATCTAGAGCTACGTGGTCATAAACAAGAAAATGATTTTAACAAGATTTTCATCACAAAGATTCTATTTTCCCTTGTTTAGAACTACAAAATCACGCATGACTAGTGACTACTGTTCTTATAAAGGTAAGCACTCCAAAGTAACTTAAAACAAAAGGCAGCAACTAAGGAGAGCAACCGGCAACCGATCCCACCCAAATCTCACATTAATTTAATTGGTAAGCAAAATGCTTATTAATCTTAAAAGTAATCAATATAAGAGTGCTTTGTCACTAACCTGAGGTTGCAAGTATTGACCACATTTCCTCTGGATTAATGCTCCTCTATTAAGGGATGTACATGTTCCTACTGAAGATAATGCACATGAGAGAAAATTCAACAAAAAAATCCATTTTTGCAGGAATTATACATCATCCATTCATCTTGTTGAGGTATTCAAGGACGACCTAGCAGCCCAGCTTTATTTAATATGTGTGTGTGTGTAGGAAAACAATGAATTTGAAATAAGAAAGCTATTGTTCTTAGTGTATTAAATGACTTCAACATAAGATGGAAATCACAGTACCTCTCGGGAGCTCTTTAACGATCCTAAAACCAATCTTTGAGAGCCTAGAGATTAGCATAATCGAAGCAACCAATTAAACCCCAAGCTTCAAGCTTTCTAATCCGAGTGAAACAGAAAAATCATTTGCATCAGTTTCTTAACGCCACAGCGTAAAATTGAAGAACAGACATTAGAGAAAGATAATACAAAACTCATAAAGAGGAACAATAATAATAATAACACTAAGGTGAGAGGATCACCAGATGACACCCAGGAACAGGTTGTTCGCTGGGACACTTGTCGGGAGAGTATGTCTGCGTCCGCCGAGGCTGTTTGGCGACGGCTGTGCGATAATGCGCAGTGAAGAGGAGTTGCAGAGTATAGGGTTTTGATATGGATTTGGGGATTCTTTATATATATATTTATGAAAGGAAATGATTAAGGGAAGGAGTAGGGTCGGGAGAAACGAAGCAGAGAAGAAACTGGTGATTGATGGAGACGAAGAATATATAAAATGGATGGCTATTGCCGTAGAGAAGTAGACGTGAGGAAGACGAGAGCTTTTGATTTCCCGATTTTCTTCAAAGAATTAAATTACATTAAACGCAGCGTTTTCATGTTTAAGCACGAACAGATGTCCTTTAGAAAAATGGACAAGCACGATTTTGCACGAAGACGATGTGTCCTTTGGGAAAACAGAGACCGAATAAAAAAGACAAGGTGAAGCTCGAACACGATGTCGTTTAGAAAAATAGAACAAAAATGCTTATCAGAGCCAGGTTTCGATCCTGGGACCTGTGGGTTATGGGCCCACCACGCTTCCGCTGCGCCACTCTGATTAGTTGATGGTCTACATTTAAAATTCATTCTTAAACTAGTGTTTTTCCCATTCTCTCCTCCATCTAAACCCTAGCTCTTTCCAAAACCCTTGTTGATGGAACTGTAAACCGCCATATTGTAAACTCTTCTAATACGCTACAAATTTGGAGACCAAATAGACAAAAATGGATATGGTGATGGAGCAGATGGAAGAGACGAAGAATGTGATGTGTCTCTTAACTGACCCAGAGGGGACTCCTTTAGGGTCCCCTATGTACATCCCCCAAAACACCGTTCCTCAACAGCTTCAAGAACTCGTTAATAAGCTTCTCAACAATGTAAGCACCATTTCCAAGTTCTTAGTTTTTAGTTTGTTGTTTTGAAATTTCTTTCGTCTTATTTCCCTCTGTTTGGTTATCAAGATTTTGCTGGGAGAGAGGTGAGTCATTAGACCTGTTTAGTTCTGAAATTTCGGAAGTTTGATCATAAGAAATTTGTTTGGGCTGGGGATGAAGGAAATACGTAAAACAGATTTTGGTGTATAAAGACAAATCCTAGAAGACGTGTGCATATGCTTCCTTGAATGAAATAGTAATGAACTTTGTATTATTTGTTTGTTCAGGAAGAGAAGTTGCCGTATTCTTTCTATATATCAGATGAAGAACTTCTTGTGTCATTGGGAACTTACTTAGAGAAAAACAAAGGTAACTTAAAGTATTGATAATGCAGTTCATTCTTTTTTCATTTATTTATGCTAATCAAACACAATTATGTTTCAGTTTCTGTGGAGAAGGTGCTCCCAATAGTTTATCAGCCACAAGCTATTTTCCGAATTAGACCTGTCAATCGATGTTCAGCAACAATTGCGGGTATGAAATAGCAATTCCTTCAAGACTTTATATGGAGATTAAAATTGCTTATATAGGCCCTTTTTTTCTCTTTTTGATAATATATTGTTCGGGTTGATTGCTGCAATTTTTGGTTATCAATAAATGGTGGGCACGGTATTAGTTGCGCCTCTTTATAGCTGCATTTTGGTAATGTCATGTTTTAAGAAATAAGAAAGGTAGCGTTTTTTTTTGTGCTTAATCTTATATCTAAGATTTTTGTGTTGAAAACCATTGATATGATAATATGACTAAATCTAAAGGTTTATGATCTTCGCTGTATAGAAAATGACTGATTTATAGAGTCTGATATATCATCCAAAGGAAAAAAAGAAAAGAAAAAAGAACATGAATGAATAAGGCATGCTCATTATCCTCCTTAAGAACATGCTTTGATAAATGTAGACTAAATCTTGATTTATTTATTCCTTTTCTATCTGGTACGCTCTATCAATAAGTTTAATTGATAGATTTTTTTCTTATCATTTTTCTATTAAAGTAAAAGAAGCCTTTGTTTTCAAATTATTATATGAATATATGATTCCCTTAAGTTCATGTTAACTATGAGTATTAGTTTATTGATTTTATTAAGCCCGTATAATTGTCTGGTCAAAACAGGTCACTCGGAAGCTGTACTTTCAGTTGCCTTCAGTCCTGACGGGCGGCAGCTGGCAAGTGGCTCTGGTGATACCACTGTCCGACTATGGGACCTTAATACCCAGACACCTATGTTTACTTGTACAGGTTATATTAACTATACACTATCTCTGTCTGTTAGAACCAACACCCTTCCAGCTACCATATTAAAAATTCCCCCTCTAATTTTATTTAGGGCACAAGAATTGGGTTCTTTCTATTGCATGGTCACCTGATGCTAAGCATCTTGTGAGTGGCAGCAAGGGTGGAGAACTTCAATGTTGGGACCCACAGACAGGGAAGGCATCAGGCAATCCATTTACTGTAATGTCTTTGTACTTGAGTGACTGATCTCGGTATTTTTCTCAGTTCATTATCATGCTACTTGACTTGATCTTGAAGTTTTCTAGAGACAAGCTTCTGCATCTATTTCATGGATTCGTTACATTTGTTGAGGCTAAATGTTCACTTGGGGGTGAGGGAGGCCATGGTTCCTTGTATTTATGCTAAACTTAGTTTCGATATGTGTTTCTCTGTTATGGAAAAATATGAGTGATCAAATTTTTTTTTAAGTAGGACTGTTGTTGTGGAAATTTTTTAGTTTCTTCAAACAGATTTTGAATTTTGCTTTTTTATTTTTTACCTTCTCTTCCTTTCAATAATGACAGTATCATTTGAGGGAGAAAATTTGCAGTCATGTTCTTTCCGATTTGTTCAAGAGTTCTTGTTTTTTTATCAAATCTTTCTGTTGCTGAAATACCATGCCTGTTAAAGCTTTAGAATTTCAGGAAATACTAGGAAGGTTTCACTTCTTTTCTTGCAAGTTGGGCTTACTTTTACAAGATAGGTTGATGTCTTTTTCTTTTCTTTTCTATTTTCAAGTATAACTAGTCACTGGGTATCCTTTTAATATAATTGTTGAAACTTAACTAAATGATGATAATGCAAAGCATCATTCTCTGATTGGACATGTTAATGAAGGGGAATGTCATAAGTTTGATTTTTAATCAATGGTCCGAGTCAATCTGACACTAGTAATTGAATTTTGTTCATATTAGGGCCACAAAAAATGGATTACTGGTATCTCATGGGAACCACTTCACCTGAATGCACCTTGCCGTCGCTTTGTAAGTTCTAGCAAAGATGGTGATGCGCGGATATGGGACATTGCACTAAGGAAATGTGTCATTTGCCTTAGTGGTCACACACTCGCTGTAACCTGTGTGAAATGGGGTGGCGATGGAGTGATATATACAGGGTATACATTTTCCTCTTCTTTTACTTATTGGTTAGATCTTAGTATTGAGATGTTATTTAGCTTGGGAATGATCTATAGCAAAGAATCCTGGTTTTCTTCAGAATATGCAAATAGATTTAGAAGATATAAATTCATAGCTTAGTTCTCACATTACAGACATAACTTCTCCATTCCATTGTCCTGTTTGTATTTAGAAGAGTTAAAAGCATTAGACTTATATGGTAAAACGCTAAACCAGAGTTCAAAAAAAAAAAAGAAAAAAGAATGCTTGTCCTTTCTTCTTGATGAAATGTAAAACTTCTGTATCATCCCCATGTAGATGGATATTACTAGCTGCCATCATGATGCATGTAATATCATTTATGCTTCTGAAACTTTTTAGTAAGACAATGAAATATCCATAAATTTGATGCTTTAAAAGTTGCTATTTAGTATATTGCTGTGGGTTACTCATGTTTTCAGATTAATGCTGCAGCTCCCAGGATTGTACAATAAAAGTCTGGGAAACTAAACAAGGGAAGCTAATTCGTGAATTGAAGGTCACTATATACATGTTTTGAATTACTATTTTGAAATTTGTTTTTCCTTATCATGTTCCCCATCAATGTTCTTCTACGAGCATTCTACAACATTCCAATTTCCTTATCATATTATGCTAGCTGTTTTTGTCTTTTTATCTGCGTCTGTTTATCTTTTTTCTTATCGATTAGTGAATTTACAGAGCTTATTATTGGATAAATAAAATTCACCAATTGACAAGAGCTTTTGAGGGAAGGAAACTACTTTGTGAAATGGATTCACAC